TTCACACACCCAATGGAACCTATATCATGCAAAGGAGAATCAATCCAAAGCAAGCATTAAGAATAGAAACATACACAACAATGAATGAAAAAACATGTATATATATCATTAAAACGTAAGGATTACAGTAGAATTCTTTGGTTACATCTAGCCCCACAAAATGATGGGTAGAACCACTCAACAATGAGGGTAACAAAAAATAGAGATGGAAGAGAGAATGAAGAATCGAAGGAAAGACCCACACACGAACGGTCCCAAGCTCTGGGAATCCCTTCCTCAGCTCCTCAAACACATCAAATGTGTGAATGAGGAAGAAGCCCTCGAAAATGTCTTCAAATACGAGCTTGGGGAGTCAGATTAGGGTTACGCGCCCGGTGCATAAGTCTTTGCGCCCAGCGCAGGACCTTCCAGGAAGGTCAAATACTATCTGCCTCAGGACAAGCCCAGCGCAATTCCTTTTACGCCCGGCGCAATGCCTTCCAGAGAGTTTAAGTTACTCTCTGTCTCGATCACGCCCGACGAGGGTAGTCTCGCGCCCGGCTCAGTCACTCTTCTCTGCTCCTTAGCTCCTTAGATTTCCAATCCAAAGGATCTTCAACTTTCAACTCTTCACTCAATACCTGCACAAAAAATGAGGTGTATTAAGGTATTGTTAGATGAAATTGGGTTAGCTATATCTGCATACAAAATGAATCAAAAAGAGAACAATTATCTTGCAATGGTGCAAAGGATGAGTGAAATTGTTCAATAAGTCTTGTCCAAAAAGAAGTATAATTGAGACTTAACAACTCCCCCAAACTTAGAACCTTGCTTGCCCTAAAGCAACAGGTAATTAATCTAGCAGATAAAAAACAATGCATGTGTGTCAAATTCTACATCCTAGTTCACTTGTATTTTCTTTTCACAAGCATGAGCCTTAGATGAACTTTCAGTCACAATTATTGCAATAGAACATGACAAGGTGCAAACAAAGGTTTCAAAAGAGATCAAAGAGCTGAGAAAAGTTAATGACTATCTGTGTATGCATCCTCACTAGGAAAGTGTTTCTCTCTATGCACACTAGTGTATCAGGGTGAGTGTTTCTCTCAAATCTACTACTCACGCCATATAATTCAACTTTTCTCTTCGTTTCCAAATGGAACCAATGGTAAAACAAATGCAGGCACTTATCACAAGGTCTTTATTAGGGCAAATCTGGGTTAAGCAGTAGTAATCTCATGGTTTTTCAAGGATTGAAGGTGCTATGGCTTAAGAGAGCAATTGAGATTTCTACAATAATATCCCTCTCCATACCCCAATACAACAATTGGCACATGCCCTTAACTGGATCCAAGCCATTAGCCTTTATGTGATTGATATTTACACTTTTGCATCTTAATATTTTTATTTTTGTTTTGCTTTGTTTTTTTTTTATAATGGCTGACCACATACTTTCCTCTTCCCAGAGTTTCTCATTCTTCAACTCCCCCAAACTTGTTTGGTGTCATCAATTACTCTCTTAACCACAGCAAAGGTTATGGTTAATTTTTCACGGTTTGGGATAAGTGGAAGGTGTGGTGTTTAGGCTTAGGAAGGTATGGGTCAAGTGAAAAGTGGAGATGGCTTTTTGGCTTAGATGGTTAACAAAATAAAGGAATATGAATGCCTTGATCATATAAATGCACAACACTAGCAAACCACCAGGGAAACTCAAGCAAAGTCTATCATGCAACTTAAGCGTAGTTCACTCATCAGTATTTAGGCTCAAACCTCACCCGGCTATAGATCCACAATTTATCAAACTCAGCTCAGTTCTATGATCAACATTGAAACCCGTATGCAACTAGTCATGAACTAAAGATCTAACGTGACTTGAAAATGTCTAAGGTACACGCACCACAAACATCAAGCAAACCACAATCCAGAATCAACCACAAGTAAAGCAAGTATCAACAAGATTAAAAATCGTGCTAAAGCAGAATATTCACAAAAAATGAACCAACAGAGTAATCACCAAAAAGAACTAAATATAATAACTGAAACCGAGTTCTTAAACACGAACAGTTAAACAACTGAAAATAAGACAGAAAAATAAAAGGCAAGAAACAATAAAAATGGACTAAGGCAGCTGGTCATTATCATCAGCAGGTGCTCCATCCTCCTCAACAGCATCAACATCAGCAGTAGCTTCACCCCCCAAAAGAAAGGAGCCTGGTCCCCAGGCCAGCCAGTATAGGCATGGTAATCAGCTGTGGACGGGAACTGGTAGCCAGGAGCAGAGTGCAGAGAGAAACTCCTGAAGGCATCCAAAATGAACATCTGGCCGCGGTGGAGGGACTCCTGCTGCTGCATGAAAGTGTCCATCCTGCCCTCTTGACGCTGCATGAAGGTCTCCATGCGACCCTCCAAAGCGTCAAAAAGCTGATGGATAGTGAGGGGAGGGCCCGGGTCAGGAGCATCATCCATGGGCACCTCTTCCTAAGGTCCGACGGCATGAATAGGCTCTGGTGCAGGAACGGCTAGTGGTGGGCAGTCCTAGCAATAGGCAGAGATGTATCTACAGTCAATCGCTTGGCCAGGACCCTCAAAAAGAGGCGAGTGGACATCCACACCTGCGAGCTGGCATAACTAAGTGATAAGCGAAGGATCTCCAAGGGCGGCGGAAGAAGGAGAGTTGGCGTAGCCAGAGATCTCTACGCAAATAATGCTGCCTAAATCGACAGTCCTCCCCGTCATGATACAATACATCAGCATGTCCCTGGTCCAATGAAGATCAGAGACATGTGAGCAGGGGAGGATGTTGGCATGCACTAAGGCAAACCAAATCTGGATGACTGGTAAGAGATCCCGGCATTTCACGTGGAGAGGCTGCTGAGAGCGGTTCCTGTAGAACCTTAATCCAGGCGTGTAGATGGCAGCCTCTATCACTGCAGTGTCCATCGTCTCTGTCAAGTAGTTGCCATACTCGCATTCTTCATCAGGCCCAAGCGTAGTCCCCAGAAACTCATTAATCGTCCTGGCATCAAAGGGGACTCGCACACCCCTGACATAGCTGGTATATGGCACAATACCCTCCTCCGGTCTCAGGGCATTGGCATAAAACTCCTTGACCACAGCTATGTTGGCAGGGAGTGGGTAGGAGCCCAGCTTGTCCCACCGGTGCTTGTGCAACTCAGTCTGGAACTCCTGTGCCTCGTCATCATCCAACTCGACCCGCCTCTCCAGGATAAATGTCCTCCCACTAATAGACTCAAAATGTGTCTCGTTCCGCTTCGTGAGGAATAGGCGGGAGTAGGGGCGACTCGACTTGCGTGGAGACTGACCCGGTTGGTCAAAACGGGGACGCTTGCTGTAAGAGGCCATCTATAAAGCATAAAATAAGAAATCCCTGGCAGAAAAAAAAGAGCACAACCAGGTATATAATGATGACTAATTCAAATAAGGCACACGAAGGACTATCCTTAGACCAAAATTCAAATAGAATATGCAAGAACTAATTACACAATAACAATCTAGACACAGAAAGCACCAAAACATAAAAAGGAAAATTAAAACACAAGAAAAAAAGGGGTCAGAGGTGTATGGCGCCGGGCTTTATATACACGCATCGGCCGCAGAGAGTATAGAGACTCTCTGGAATCAATTGCGCCGAGCGCAAAATAAAGAATAAACATTCTGGAACACGTTGCGTCGGGCGCAAAACAGAATTGCGCTGGGCGCGAAAAAACCTGAGGGGTTATATCTTTTAAGCACGTCGGGCACAGTTCTTCGCGCCCAGCTCAGTTTCAAAACCCCAAGGTTTTACAAAACAACCTTGCATACAGGGGCGTAAAAAAATCCATCTTTTGGCCCCAATACCCCCAATGCAGGCCCTAGGCCACAGTTTTAACACCCCTAAAACACAAAATACCAAGAAAAGATTACAAAAAGAACTAAAAACAAAAAGTAGGAGAACCTACTTGAGTGCGGAGTGCTTGGAGGAAAGGAAGAACCCGAGACGTGCACTTAAAGGACGAGGGTGAATGGAGATGGTCTTAGGGTCAAAAGGGGGATGAGAGGCGTGTGGGAGAGTGAGGGGTTGAGGAGATGCAGAAAGTTTGGAATATGAGGAGTTGAGAGGGATTGGAGAGAAAAGGGGAAGAGTGGCGTGAGAGAAAAGATAGAGAGTGGGAGAGTGAAAGGGAGAATGGGAGTGTGAGAGTGAGAGAGTTGAGAGAGGGGAGGCCATGAGAGAGGGAAGAGAGGTGAGGGAGAAGTTGAGAAAAAAGTGAGTGTTGTGGGCAGTTGAGAGGTTGAAATGAGAGTGGGGAAGAGGGGAAAGTGGTTAAGGTATCTGAAACGACGTGTCGGGCGTCCTATTCATACGTCAGGCGCCATATCAGAAGAAGTCCAAAGGGTGCCCTCATCTGGTGTCGCGCTGGGCGCTGCCATTTCGCACCGGGCGTGTTTAGGGTTAGAAACGTGCAAGCATTCAATACGTCCGGCTTGGCAGATACGCGCCCGACATATTTAAGGCTGAGACCTTCTAGTGATGACCGCGCTGGGCGCATTTATGAGCGCGCCGGGCTTGCAACCCCCTGGAGCCTCTGGCTTTTAATGTGCCCAGCTTGACAATAAATGCGTCGGGCGTGGTCGTTCCAAGGGCTATAATGAATGCTGGGCCGGGCACAATACAAATTGTGCCTGGCGTGGGTCTTGGCAGAGACCAATTTGCTTTAGTTGTGCCAAGCGTGGCTATGTCGCGCCCGGCATGGTCAACTCTATGAAGATTTCACCTGAATTTTTCCACTCCTCACACTCCTAACAGGATCTAATCTATATCAATCCACTCAAGCATGATTCACACAATTAACACACAACACAAAAAATCACAATTCATATCACAAATACAATTATAACACACATTAACAATCAAAGCTAAAAACACAAATTAACTGAAAACACATAAAACAAAGTTCAGATCTCTGGGTTGCCTCCCAGGAAGCGCTTGTTTACTGTCCCGAGCCTAACTAGAAGAGACATCAAGGGTCTCTGAAAGAAAGAATACAGCAAAGTCTTTCGACTTCTCCACCCAAGTAAGGTTTCAACCGCTGTCCATTCACAACCCAGCTTCTTTGCGCCTCAGGATCTTCAATTTCTATGGCACCATAGGGTTTCACCTCCTTGACTCTGAAAGGGCCAGACCACTTTGGTCGCAGTTTTCCAAGGAAGAGCTTGAGCCTGGAATTGAACAATAGCACCGACTGGCCTGCCCCGAACTCTCTCTTGAGAATTTTCCTGTCATGATAGCTTTTGACTTTCTCCTTGTATATCTTGGATGATTCAAAGGCTTGGAGCCTCAGTTCATCAAGAGCATGCAGCTCCAACTTCCTCTTCTCACCAGTACTGAGAGGATCAAAGTTCAACATCTTCAAAAGCCCAATAAGCTTTATGCTCCAGTTCCACAGGAAGATGGCAAGCTTTCCCATACACCAATTAAAATGGAGTGAGACCAATTGGAGACTTGAAGGCGGTTCTATAAGCCCATAGAGCTTTATCAAGCTTTGTAGACCAATCCTTCCGTGAAGAAGACACTGTTTTCACCAAAATCCTCTTGATCTCTCTGTTAGAAACCTCAGCTTGCCCATTTGTTTGAGGGTGATAGGCGATAGCAACCTTATGATGGACTCCATAGTGTTCTAGAGCCCTCTCCAACTGAGCATTGCAGAAGTGTGAAACTCCATCACTAATAAGTAACCTGGGGGTGCCAAATCTGCAAAAAATGTGCTTCTTGAGGAACTTCACCACTGTTTTGCCATCCGCCTTGGGTGTTGCAATAGCTTCAACCCATTTGGAGACATAATCCACTACCACAAGAATATACTCGTTTGTGAAGGAAGAAGGCAGTGGTCAAACAAAGTCTATGCCCCAACAATCAAACACCTCAACTTCTTGCATGTTCTGCAAGGGCATCTCATGCTTCCTTGTGATTCCTCTGGCCCTCTGACAACTGTCACACTGCTTGGCATGACTGTGGGCATCTTTGAAGAGTGTCGGCCAGTAGAAACCAGCTTGAAGGACCTTAGCAATTGTCCTCTCTCCATTGAAATGTCCTCCATAAGGAGAGTTGTGACAGTGCCATAGAATACTCTTGGCCTCCTCTCTTGAAACACACCTCCTCAATAGGCCGTCTGAACCGATCTTGAACAAGTGAGGGTCATCCCACACATAGTAGGTAGCATCACGGAGGAACTTCTTTTTCTGGTGCCATGTGAAATCTTCAAGTATGACTCCAGCTGCCTTGAAGTTTGCCAGGTCAGCAAACCAAGGCCGCTCTTGCACCATAAGCAATTTCTCGTCAGGGAACTCTTCCAAGATCTCCCTCTCCTTCAGGGTCACCTCATCATTTATAAGCCTTGAGAGGTGGTCAGCAACCAGATTTTCCTTGCCACTCTTGTCTTTGATCTCCAAATCAAATTCTTGAAGTAGAAGGATCCACCTTATGAGTCTTGGCTTGGAATCCAACTTGGTGAGTAAATGCTTAATGGTTGCATGATCTATGAACACAACCACTTTGGAACCAATCAAATAGGACCGGAACTTTTCCAATGCAAACACTATGGCTAGCAACTCTTTTTCAGTAGTGGCATAATTAATTTGTGCCTCATTTAAAACCTTACTAGCATAGTGAATGGCATGAAAAGTCTTAGCCCTCCTTTGGCCTAAGACTGCCCCAACCGCATAATCACTAGCATCACACATGAGTTCAAAATCTAGTTTCCAATCCAGTGCAGTGATTATGGGTGCAAAGGTGAGTCTAGCCTTCAAAATTTCAAAAGATTTCAGACAAGAATCATTAAAACAGAAAGGAGTGTCTTTGTTTAAGAGATTAGTTAGGGGTTTGGCTATCATTGAAAATTCTTTAATAAATCTTCTGTAAAAGCCAGCATGCCCCAAGAAACCCCTAATACCTTTGACATTGATTGGTGGAGGGAGTTTTTCTATTACCTCCACTTTGCCAGGGTCAACTTCAATGCCTTTGTGAGAGATCTTATGCCCCAAGACTATCCCTTCGGTCACCATGAAATGGCATTTTTCCCAGTTGAGGATAAGGTTGGTCTCCAAGCATCTTCTAAGCACCACTTCAACATTGGCTAGGCACTCATCAAATGAAGACCCGAACACCGAGAAGTCATCCATGAAAACTGTAACGAGTTTAAAAAAAATTATAGGTGATTTAGTAGCCGAGAACGGGCCGTTCCCAATCTGGAACGGGCCGTTCCAAGCTACTGAATTCATCTATAAAACGTAGCTGAGAACGGGCCATTCTGGAGGGAGAACGGGTCGTTCCAAATTCCAAAACGGGCCGTTCTAGTTGGAGAATGGGCCGTTCCGGAGGGAGTACAGGTTGTTCTGGATAGAGAACGGGCCGTTCTAGATAAATACTAGAACGGGCCGTTTTGATTTCAGAACGGGCCGTTCCGCATGTGGTTTTTGTACGTGTTGAGGGAGTGCAGAACGGGTCGTTCCAATTTCGGTACAGGCCGTTCTAGCCACTCCGAAATGTCTATAAATAGGGCTTACGAGCAGTTGAGGAGAATGAGTTTTTAGAGAGAAGTTTTAGAGAGAAGGACTCTGGACTAGGAAGCTTGCTTTGGGAGGATTGAAGTTTCGGGTTGAGCTTCGGTAGAGAATTCTACTTCTTCTCAGTTATTGACTATTTTGAGCCAATCTTCAGGTGAGGGAAGCTAGAATGCTTGTTGTTAGGATTTCATGTGAGTTTAGAAACTCAATTGATGTATAAATGTTAAGAATCCATAGATGGATTGAAGAAAATATGGTTTTTGGGGTTTTGAGAAAAAGGAGGATTTTGATGATTTTGATGCATAGGTTGGATGCATGTGAGCTTTAAGTTTATTTCGAGTTGTATGGAGCCTATGTATTGTGTTTTATGTTTGCATGTGGCTGGATGTGTTGGCTTGGATGAGAGCTTTGAAACTCTCTGACTGGGATTAGGCCGGACGTAGGTTGAGTGCGTCAGGCGTAGAAGAGCTTAGAGCTCTTGGGTTGGTGTTACGCCAGGCGCGAGCTGACTGCACTGTGCATGAATATATTTATAAATAATTTATTTAAATTGTTGCTTATGCTTGTTTAAAGTCGAATTTTTAGATCATGTATGTATGATATATGATGTATGGTGAGGTATGATTCATATGTATGCTTTGTGATGATACGTATGAATGTTTGAATATGATATGACATGTGTATATGTTCATATGAGTATGTTTATTAATCATAATGATGGGTAGATCATTTATGATGTATGATGCATTATTGCATGTGATGTTTTATGACATGTGTATGATTATTGATCATAATGGTAGGCATACCATTATGATGTATGATGCATGATTGCATATGATGCCTATGGCATGAGTCTAGCCTAGGACTTGAGGAGAGGAAAAATATTTTCGAACTGGAAGAGCTCACATAGAGTCTCTTGAGAGTGGTGCTTGGATAGGCCACTGATATATGAGAGTGGTGCTCAGGGAGGCCACTGGATTTGGGAGAGTGGTGCTCAGATAGGCCACTGGGTTGGGTGAGTCTCCTCTAAGTCCTTAGCTAGTGTTGGAGCGGGGTATGAGGTCGAGGGTTATTCCCTTAACAAAGTACTCGGGAAGGTGCATGGATCCTTGCGGATATTCGATGGGCGAACTCCACAATTGACTTGGTTACGTATGCCAAGGTCGTGGTAAGCCCGTACCCAACTGTGCTATACCTGACGGTGGATCTGTACTTCCAATTGTGTAAGTGACATCATCCGAGTAAACCCGAGTGAGGATTATATCCTGTTTAGCTATGATCGAGCGGGCGCATTGGGCGTGAAAACGGTTGGAGTGGTTTTGGTAGGATGGAATGTCACTTATACAACTCTATTGTTATGGAGATCTCCTAGGTGTATGCTTGACGACGCATTAGATGATTGATATGCATTGATATCTGTCATGAGATGCATTTATTGCATGATTATTAATATAATGAAGTGTCGTGTTTGACTTCATGATTGGTGGATTGTATTTTATGCATAAGTAGTATTGAATAGAGTGTATGGTGTGACTCTATGAATATGATTGATAGTTGGATGATGTGTAGTATAGATTTTATTTTGTACTTGTATGATTGGTTTTGAACTCTAGCTTACCCTTCTATTTTCATGTGGTGGAACTGCGATGATCATACTTGGTGTGGGAGTAGGTCAGGGCTAGCTTAGAGTTGAGGTGTCCGTTGCGAGACGGGGAGTCTTGATCCTCGTGTTAGAGTTACCATTTTGGGTAATGGTTTGTCTGTACTTGACCGGCACTAGGGAATATTAGTTTTGGGATTACTGTACATATAAGGAGTTCTATTTTATAACCAGAAACTTAGTTATTTTCATTTTTATTTGCACATGTATGTATGAGTTATCCAGCTTAATATTTCTCTTAGTTTCACTAGCAGTAGTGCGATTCCACTAAGTGTAGGGACCACGGCGGGTCGTTACACTTTTATGGTATCAAAGCCGGTCGAGTCTTTTGGGATACTCTGTGGGGAGTGATCCTTATAGGTTTCTGTTGTGTCATATCTCTGATATGTGTTAGTTTTGGTGAGTTGTGGTGGTGAAATGTTAGTAAAAGAATGTTTGAATTCTTTTAGTATGGTGAGGCCTCAGTTTGATCAGATCGCTAAGGCTATGGAGATGATGTCCATGGTGATGCGGCAGCAAAGTGCTCACTTTGCTTAAATGGAGGCAGGTAGAGCTGCGACTGAGGCAGCTAGGTCGGTGGTTTCTTAGTATGGGAGAGATTTAGTAGAGTTCAGGGGATGTTAGCCTCCTCAATTCAAGGGGGGATTCAGATCTCAATGTGATAGATTTGTGGTTTGTGAGATGAGAAGATCTTCAGTGTTTTGGGATCTTCTAAGGAGAGGAAGTTGGCCTATGCAGTATGTATACTAGCAGGCAAGGTTGAGTACTGGTGGAGAGGCACCAAACAGATGTTAGAGAGCAGGAGTGTACTTGTTGATTGGGATTGCTTTAGGGGGTCTTTTTGGAAAAGTATTTCCCAGACAGCGTTAGATACGCTAAGGAGGCGGTGTTCATGAGATTGCAGCAGGGGAGCCTGTTTGTATTAGAGTATGCTGAGGTTTGAGCATTTGGCTCGTTTGTACTCTCAGGCCATATCTGAAGCTTGGAGATGTAGGAAGTTGCAGAGGGGTTGAGGCATGAGCTGAAAAGGGTCATAGTCCCTATGTCCATAAAGGAGTTTCCTACCTTGGTTGAGAAGACAAAGACTGTTGAGAGATTGGAGGGTGGTGGTAGCAGCGGCAAGGCTGCTAGAGTTCAGGAGGGATCATCTGGATCTATGAGGGGAGGTCAGCAAAAAGGACGCTATGACAGGCCTGTTCAGTCTCAAAGGGGTGTTGTTAGTAGGGGACCTCATCCTGCTACTCC